AGTTATTATGCCTTTGTGCCTCTAGAGCTTAGTTGACTTGGTCTTCCAAGGTGTATGTGCCTTTGAAATTATAAACCAAAGTGTTCGCATAAGTAAAATGCACGTCTTATATACACACTCGACCGAGCTTTTGTGTAGCGTATCATTTTATTTACAGCTGATCTCACGTAATTCTTGTTTATTCTTGCCGTTCTGATGTTCTATTTCATGTTTTGTGCGGTACTCAGCTTGGGTATTTATCTTCTCTTTAAGCTTCTCTTACGGCGAATATTTTTGTTGTTTTCTTATGTTAACGCTGCTTTGTTTGATTCTTACAAAACGTGTTTTAAAACTACATTCGGTCGGTGGTGGTTTTTTTTATTTACTCTTTGTTTGTTACGATAAATGAAATATTAAAAGTGCAAATATTTGATGAATATTTACAACATAAAAACAAGAAATATAATTAACAAATAAATAAGGTGAGTTTATTATTAATTTATTTAATTATATTTTTATATTTCATTTTAATATTATTTCAGCTTAGTTTGAGATGTTATTAAGGCTTGTAAGCGGTTTGGGTTTTGGTAAATGGTTGTGACTAAATATTTTAAATATTAATTAATCTATTTAATTCCAGATATTTGCAACATTTATTACCAGTGAGTCTACTTTTTCCAAGTTTGAACATAACCATATAAAAAGTGTGTCGTTTTATAAAAAACTGTGTTGTGTTGATGTGTTTTAGTTCGTGTTGTTATTGTTTTTAGTGCATGTTTATGTAGCGTTTATGTAGGTGGAAATTTAGTGTAAATTTCCATCCTTACATTTCCCTCCTTCTTCGGGAAAGTTAACTGGATCTGAACCACTACCTGCTTGAGTGATTTCTATTTCGTTTCTTTGAAGATTTAAACACTTTGTAAAACTTGTCTTGATGCGTGTTAATATAGTCGTGATCGCTCTGCTGGAGTTCACCTTGACTTTCCATTTGCTTTTGCTGAGTTCGATTGCTGGAAGAATTCCAACTTCCGAGACATTGTTCTTTTATTTGCATCATAGGGATATTTACTTTTTCTCTCAGTTGAGTAGAATTATCTTTTCCTTGATGTGAAACTCGTTGTGATTCTTGAATGGGACTTGGGGTTTTGTGAGTCATTCGATGTTGTGTAGTTTTATTTTCGATGACTTTAATCTCCTGTTGACATTGATCTGATTGCTTGACGGACATTTCCTGTCGCGGTATTAGCGACGTCTCTGAGTGTACTTGATCTTGAGGTATGGAAAGTAACGATGTTCTTACTAATTTAGTCGATGGTCTCCTAAGTTGTTCTTCTTGAAGCGGTGGATTTCGTTGTGAATGTGCCTCTTGCACCTGTGTATATTCTTCAGTAGTTGTAACATGTTGGAGTCTTTGTGGTGGTGGTATTTGAAACATCGGTTTATCTTGTATGACTTGGACTAGGTTAATTCTTTCTAGATTTCTTTTGTTTGGCGTCTCGCGTTGCCGTTTTTGCTGTAGTTGTTCGACATGCTGTTGAACTGGTAAAACTCGTTGATCTTGTCTGACTGACTGTTGCTTAGGTATTTCTGGAGTTTTATTGACAGGTTTTGGATTTTGCATTCGCTGTAATTCTTCAATTTGCACTTGTTGTATCTCTTGAATTTGTCTGAATTCCTGTTGGTGTAAATCATACACTTCTGGGGTTTCTTTGCTTGGTTCTGGATCTTGCGATGGTACGAGACATTTGCATGACATTTGCTCTAAATAATTTTTACATTGCTTGTGCTGTGTTATTATGCTTGGCTTAGGTAATAATTCTGTTGATGGATTGGTAATTCTAGTTCTTACTGCTGTTGTTTGCTTTGCCGTCGGTCGGTTCTGTTGCTTGTTCAAGATAGGTGGCTCTGATTTATGATGCTGGATAAGTTTATCCCGTATTGGCGTAGTGGGTATGCATCTCATAGTATTTTGTAATGGCATCGTTTCTGAGCACTCCACTACGATGCACCTGCCCATAGTTTCTTTTCGTGTACCGTCCCGATTCACTTTATGCTGTTCTCTGCGAAGCTCTTCGAAGTCATCAGCAAGTATTTTTAATTCTTCTAAGCTGGAAAAATCTCGACGTCTGATAAAGATTCGGTAGTCTGCGCTCATGTTTTGATATATTCGCTCTAATTGCGAATCTGGATTTGTGCAGGCTCGTCGCATAAGATTTTTGATGTTAATTAAATATGTTTTGAAATTCTCATTGGGTTTTTGATGGCGGGATATTACATCATCCTGTAGGTTCTCTAAATATCTAGCAGAAATGAAAAATGATAAGAAATCGTACTTGAAACGTGTCCAAAGTGACCAACGACAATTGTTATTGCGAAACCATTCTAGTGCTTCGCCTTCGAGGAGTAGAGGCATTGTTCGAGGAATTTGATTTACATCGATGTTGTACATGTCTGCTAGTTCCTCTATGTGTTCGATGAAATCTAAGGTGTCCTTGCCACCGTGATATCTGAAGGACCATTTCTCTACGTATTCAATTGTCTGACGATAAGAGCACATTGGAGGATTTATTGAACTTTCTTCAGTCCCTGGTATTCCTCTTGATCCCACCGACATTGTTTCTTCTTACGATTTATGTTGCTATTTTATGTCATCTAGTTTTTTTAGATTTTCTTTGCTTGACTACTATATTTCCATCACTATTTTAACGACTTTTGAATATTTTGGTCCCTGCTCGGGCGCCAACTGTAACGACCCTTTCTCGCAGTCGTTGCCTATTTGCTGAGGTATGCTCAGTCTCACCAAAGTCGTCACAATAAATTTATAGATTGTGACCAAAATATTCAAAGCGCTGTGATTTTATTTCAATTTCTTTATTTACTTAATACTTTATTCAGAGTTCATAAATTTTAAGTATTTATTTAGTATAGTAAAACAAATTAACTTTGTTCCACAGAAAAAAAAAAATAAAATAAATATATATGTATATATATACAAAATTTAAATATGTAGTTTTTTTCAAAAGGATAAAAATTTAATAATTAAATAAAGATATTCTTGGAGAAGTGTCAGTCCTTGAATATTTTTGATAGATCTTCCTTCTTCAAGCCCCTGATTTTGTATTCTTCTGACCTTATTGTTGGTGTGAGACCTCCGGTCGTATTCAAGTACAATTATGCCTTCGTTTGGAGATTTTCGTTATAGTCAGTCTCCTTTGTGTATCACAGAGAATTACTTTGGACACAGTCGACGTGATACCACCTGTCGTGTCTTAATAATTATCTAGTAATTATTCCTTCCGAAAGATATTTTTTTATATAAAATATCCTTATATATTTTGATTTTAGCAAATATTTTGGACACAGTCGACGTTAAACCACCTGTCGTGTCTTAATAATTATTATGTTTTGATTTTGATATTTTTTTCATATAAAATATCCTTATGTATTTTAATTTTATTAACTATTTTGGACCCAGTCGACGTTAAACCACCTGTCGTGTCCTAATAGTTATTATACCTTGATTCGATATTTTTTTCATATAAAATATCCTTATGTATTTTAATTTTATTAACTATTTTGGACCCAGTCGACGTTAAACCACCTGTCGTGTCCTAATAGTTATTATGCCTTTGTGCCTCTAGAGCTTAGTTGACTTGGTCTTCCAAGGTGTATGTGCCTTTGAAATTATAAACCAAAGTGTTCGCATAAATAAAATGCGCGTCTTATATACACACTCGACCGAGCTTTTGTGTAGCGTATCATTTTATTTACAGCTGATCTCACGTAATTCTTGTTTATTCTTGCCGTTCTGATGTTCTATTTCATGTTTTGTGCGGTACTCAGCTTGGGTATTTATCTTCTCTTTAAGCTTCTCTTACGGCGAATATTTTTGTTGTTTTCTTATGTTAACGCTGCTTTGTTTGATTCTTACAAAACGTGTTTTAAAACTACATTCGGTCGGTGGTGGTTTTTTTTATTTACTCTTTGTTTGTTACGATAAATAAAATATTAAAAGTGCAAATATTTGATGAATATTTACAACATAAAAACAAGAAATATAATTAACAAATAAATAAGGTGAGTTTATTATTAATTTATTTAATTATATTTTTATATTTCATTTTAATATTATTTCAGCTTAGTTTGAGATGTTATTAAGGCTTGTAAGCGGTTTGGGTTTTGGTAAATGGTTGTGACTAAATATTTTAAATATTAATTAATCTATTTAATTCCAGATATTTGCAACATTTATTACCAGTGAGTCTACTTTTTCCAAGTTTGAACATAACCATATAAAAAGTGTGTCGTTTTATAAAAAACTGTGTTGTGTTGATGTGTTTTAGTTCGTGTTGTTATTGTTTTTAGTGCATGTTTATGTAGCGTTTATGTAGGTGGAAATTTAGTGTAAATTTCCATCCTTACAAGTTGAGATGTTAAATGCCTTTGGGTTTGGCTGTTGCCAAAATTCGTTGCCTCCATGAAGAAAGAGTAGACCAAAAAACCATATATGTGAATAATTGAACATTTTAACTTTTATTCCTCTGGAAATGATGTCAGCTGGATTATCCTGGATTACGCCACATGATGCCATTGATCAGCATGTGACATCTCTTGAATTTTGCTAATACGATTTGCTACGAATGTGTGCAATGAGGCAGATGAAGATATTATCCATGACAAAACAATTTCGGAATCGGACCAAAAGTAGGTTGGCACGTTTTGATACTTTAAATCTTGTTTTACTCTTTCTGCTAATTCGACTCCCAGCAATGCTGCGCAGAGTTCTAGTCGTGGAAGTGTCTGTTTCTTTAATGGTGCTATTCTAGATTTGGCGCACAATAGTCTCGATGTTATTGTCTTATCATTATATATTGCTCGCACGTACATAGCTGCTCCATATGCCTTCTCTGATGCATCCGTAAACACGTGTAATTGAATCGAACAGGGAACCGTTGAATTAAAAATATGTCTGGGTACTTTCACAGTATTTAATGTTTGTAAGTCATTTCTAAAACGCTTCCATTCTAGCTGAGCCTGAGGTAACAGTTCAGCATCCCAGGAATAGTTTTGTTGCCACAATTCCTGCATGAATATTTTAGCTGTTACAGTAATGGGGCCAAAAATTCCCAAAGGATCAAAAATTCGAGCTAAGTCCGATGCCACAATCCGCTTCGTGATAGGTTGTTCTGATGACATCTCTGCCTTACAGCAAAATTCGACTGATTTCGGGAGCCAAATAATGCCTAATGTTTTTGTTGGCTTTATGGCTGAGTCATCTAAATCAAGGTTGATTTCTTGGTCTTCTATCGGAATGTTTTGTAGGAGTCGTGTATTATTTGAGCACCATTTTCTCAGTTTAAATCCTGATTTACTGAGCAGTTCCGTAAGTTGTTGTTGAGTGTCTAAGGCGGTAATGATGCTGTTAGTTCCGCTTAAACAGTCATCTACATAAAAATCATTAAGTAATGCAGGTGCTCCAAGCGGATAGTTGGTCATATTATGTTTCGCAAGGTGTTGAAGACATTTTGTTGCAAGATAAGGGGCTGACTTCGTTCCATATGTAACCGTTTTCAGTCGGTAATATTGTATACTATCATCAGCACTTTTTCTCCAGATTATCAGCTGCTGTGCTGTATCTTCATCATGTACTTGAATTTGCCGGTACATTTTCTCAATATCAGCCGTAAATACAAACCGGTGTATTCTAAAACGCAACAGTATTGAAAAAAGATCACTTTGCACTGTTGGACCTTTGTGCAAAATATCGTTTAGTGCTAAACCGCTTGATGTTTTTGCTGATGCATCAAAGACAACTCTCAATTTGGTTATAGTGCTGTCAGGTTTCAAGACACAATGATGAGGAATGAAATATTGTGCTCCTTTGACATCTTTCGGGCAAACTTTTTCCATGTGACCTAATGACTCGTAGTCATCCATGAACTTTATGTACTCCTTGTATAAATTTGGGTCCCTTTGTAACTTCCTTTCCAGAGAACAAAATCGATTGAATGCTATCTCACGCGATCTACCAAGTGTTGTGGGATCATCGCGGAAGGGTAAGCGTACAATGAAACGACCATCGTGATTTGTCTTTACATGATTTGTAAAGTGATTTTCACACCATTTCTCAGATAAAGTCAAAACCCTTTCTGCAGTCTCAATGTTATCTAACTTCCAAAATCGTTCTATCATTTCTGACATTTCACCAACTTCTCCTGTAGTAATAGCGCATGTTGGTTTAATATCTGTTGTAGTTTTAGTCTTACCAACCTAGAACCGAATTTTGTAACAGTGGCGAATTCTTTCCTATTATCAATTGTTCTGGTTGAAGTAGAGTATGATAGAATTCAGCACCAATCAGCATGTCAATTCTTCCAGATCTGTTAAAGCTGGGGTCTGCTAATTCTACATTCTGTGGGATCTGCCAATCCGAGATATCTAGGTCTCGTGACGGTTGTGCTGATATTATTTGTGGCAATACAAATGCCTCTAGTCTCGTCCTGAAGCTTCCATTAGTAGTCTGCAGTTCAACATTTACGCGAGATTTTGAGTTCCCGAATTGACGGCCAATACCTTCGATCGATAGATTTGAATTTGTGGTAATTAAAGATAACTTGTTGATTACTCTTTGGGTTACTAGGTTCACTTGAGAACCTGAGTCGAGTATGGCACGAACATCACACGTTCGTCCATTGTTTGCAATAATGCGCACCTTTGCAGTGGCTAGCAGAACGTAATTACGAGTACCCTTTGCATTAGTTGTTGCTGTTATGGATGGCGATTCATTAGCGTTGATCAATGTTGTGGTTGACTTTGTGTTTGTTGCTGGTGCCCTTGAAGGTTTAGGTGACTGTTGCTCTAAATGAAGCAAAGTGTTATGCTTCTTGGCACATTTTTTACATGATCCAGCTTCACAAACCTTTGCTTTATGATCGGATTTGAAACCATTCACACATAGTTTTTGTCGTTGAATCCAATTTAATCGTTCAGGAGGAGTCATTTCAATGAATTTTTTGCAATAGTAGATCGGATGTTTATCTGTATTACAAACTTTACATAGATCTGAACAAACCATAGTTACGGCTATCCTTTTGTTGGGTTTATATACTGCATTGTCTCCTAGACCTATAGGCTCAAGTGATTGAAATTTCAATTCTAAAAATTCTAAGAATCGTTTTATTGTGAGCATCTCCCTTGGGTTAGTAAGAGTTTGTTCAAAACTGCAATGTGTATTTTTATCCAACTTTTTTAGTAGTATGTGAACTAAAATTGGATCCCAAGTTGATGTTTCAATATTTAAATTATGAAGTTCACATAGACTTTCCTTTGTTGTGTCATGCATATTTTTAATGGCTTGGACTGTTGGATGGTCATATAAAGAGTTTTGAGCTGTCAAACGTTGCAAAACTGCTGATACTAGAACTCTTTTATTCTCATATCTACTTTGTAGTAATTGCCATTTTTTTTTTTTTTTTTTTTTTATTAACGATTCTTCAAATAAAGACAAAAATCGTTTTAATATTGCACCTAGTACAAATAACAAAAAAAAGGTACTAATAAGCAATTTGATTTTAATATTTAATGTAAAAAAAAAAAAAATTTTTTTTTTATTTTGCTACTCGCTGTCCATTAAGACTGCCACTGTTTTCCTTTTTAGCCGTCTAGATATCGCAACCACCTGGAGAAAACTGGATGCTGTAACGTTGACATGTGTTTTCAGTCGCTGTTTGTGAGCAATGGTACACCTTTTTGCCACGACGTCGACTGTTGGTATGTCAAGGTCACGGTGGAGATCACTGTTTCTAATGTAATATGGAGCATTTACGATGTATCTTAGTACTTTTTTTTGAAAGCGCTGGATAGTTGCAATGTATTTCTTGCTGGCACAACCCCAGAATTGTATGCCATAACTCCAAGCCGACTTCAGTATTTGATTGTAGACCATTAGTTTGTTGTGGATTGCCAGTTTAGAGCGCCTGCCTATGAGGTGGTAAAATTTGTTTAGTTTTAGGTCAAGCCTTCTCGTTTTTTCTTAACATGCGCTTTCCAGCGCAGCTTGGCGTCAAGCGTAATGCCCAGATATTTGGCTTCGTTGGCGTGTGGAATTTTTGTGGCATCGATATGAATTGGAATATGGTTATAATTTCTCAATGAGAAGACTATATGTACTGATTTTTCCTTATTTAGCTTGATTCTCCATTTTTTTTCCCATGAAGCAATTTGATTGACTGTGTGTTGCAGATTAGCCGTCGCGTTTTCTATATTGTTTTCGATTGCTAGAACCGCAGTATCGTCTGCAAATGTTGCTGTAACTAGTTGGTTTGCAGAGGGTAAGTCGTGTGTATACAGGAGATATAGAATGGGCCCAAGAATGCTCCCCTGCGGGACGCCTGCGCTAATCTACTTTAGTGCTGAATGTGCATCTTCATATTTAACACTGAAGTACCTGTCGTTTAGATACGATGATAGCAGCTTATAGTATTGTATAGGCAATAATGATTTAAGTTTATGGAGTAATCCTGTATGCCAAACCTTATCGAAGGCTTGTGATACATCTAAGAACACGGCACAACACACTTTCTTCTCTTGCATCGCCAATTCAATGGCATTTACGACTACATGTATTTGGTCGATGGTTGAGTGGTTTTTTCTGAAGCCGAATTGATGATCCGGAATTAAGCGTCTTCTCTCGATTATTGGTGATAAACGCGCTAGTAGTAGTTTTTCAAAAAGCTTCGATAAGGTTGGCAATAGAGATATTGGCCTATATGAGGATACATCATTGGGAGACTTCCCTGGTTTGGGTATCATAATTACCTCAGCGAATTTCCAAAAAATGGGTACATGTTTCAAACGGAGGCACGAATTAATTAAATCGCATAGGTAGATGATGCAGTTATTGGGTAAGTTCCGAAGAACTTCAGCCGTTATTAAGTCAAAACCAGGAGATTTTTTGAGTTTCATTTTTAAAATTTGTTTTCTCACTTCTTCCGTAGTGACTGGAACAATTTCAGTGTTGCTTTCGGGCCAATTTGTACTTAACCCAATAACATCTTGGCCTTCATTTGGACTGAAGGTTTTCTCTAAGTGTTCAGCAAACAGGTTCGCCTTTTGAGAATTTGTTTTAGCCCAGTGAGTTTCGTTTATTTTTACTGGGGCAGACTGCTGCATTGGTCTGTTAAATGATTTAGCAGCTTTCCACAAAGAGTATTCATTATTTTTTGTCTGCCGTGAGGCCCATCAGAAAACTATTAAAGGTATTATTTTTGTATGATTTGATGGCTGTGCGTAACTTTTTAGTTGCTCGGTTTAGTTGCGATTTAATTAACGGACATCTTGTTGCTTGCCAACGTTTTCGCAATTTTCGCTTCTCCGTAATCTTTTCTGTGATGAAGGGTGGGTATTTTTTACCATGTAGAGTTTGTAGTTTTGGTGTTGGTGTACTGTTCCACGCTGCCATCTGCAATTGCTGAGTGAAATGAAGTACTGCGTCATCTAGTTGCTCGCTGTTAACAATATGATCAAACTTGTGCAAATGTACAAGCTGAAGCTGAAAATATTTCCAGTCGGTAAATTTATTTGCTAACTTGGGTGTGTTCTGGTTTATTGTTGGATTGCCATGCCGTCTCATAATTTGCATCTGATATTTGCAAATGCTTGATGAGTGCTTCAGCTTCGCCTTGAATATTGGTTTTCAAATACCAGAGTTTCTGTGAGTCTGATATTCTTTGATTGTGTATCAGTTGTGCAAACAGATCACTGAATTGTCGCCAACTCAAATAATCTCCACTGAACTTTGGAAGAGATATTGTTGGCAAAGTAGCCGATGGTTGATAAGTTGACCTAATTGATGTCTCAATCTTGGTCGACTTACTAGTCCATTCCACCATTGTATCTTGCACCAACTGTTCCAGTGCTAGATAATGATTTCAATCAGGAGGGTTGTCTTGCCGTTCCTGTCAACCAAATTTATCAAAGTTCTAACCAGTTTATATAACGAAAATTATGCAGCTGTATGGGATGGGGAACACTTGTCAGAATGGTTTGCTACTGATTCAGGAGTTTAATAAGGTTGCATACTCAGTTCGATTCTGTTCTCACTTTATATAGACGACGTGGTTACACATCTATCTGGAGGCGCATTTATAAATGGTGTAAAAATTCAATTACGATTTTTTGTAAAAAAAATATGGCGATTACCGCTTAACACACCCAACCGAATGATTTATTTGGAGACTAGCTTATCATCTCTGTACTTGTACTTTAGAAAATCACTTCAACTACATGTTAAAAGTTTTCAACATGGAAAGCTCGCGGTTACCTAAAATCTTAGTTATATCTCTAATGCAGCAGAAGAGTAACTTTTTTAAAACGTGGGCTGATCTAGCAACGGCCCACGATGAAACGCTGATAATCGACAACTAACATTCGTGGAAGCAGTGGCAGCAAAATATATTAGTAAAAATCGGTATTGCGTTTAAAGAAAAATTCGTGGCAGAAAGTCGACAAAGCTAAACTCGTGTTTTATACAGGCTGCTTAATTGTGACTTACGCAACAACAGTTACTTCGCCGATCGTTTCAATGCTGAAGCAATTGGATATATTTTCTAAACACGAGGAGAACTGTTAAAGCTCAACAACGCTCCCTATAGGAACTCGTCAGACCCGAGATGCACACTGTGGAATACGGGAGAAAAGGAAGATGTAATACATTTTCTTAGTAAATGTCCAATTTTAATGAAGCTACGGGTAAATTATTTTGGAAAACAATCGTTAGATCTTAACGAGTTAATGAGGCTGCTAAATGGTGAAAACTGGCATATGTTATCGACATATGTGAAAGCTGCGTTTCGTTATAGAGAAAATATTTTATTAGAAGCATTTTAACACTCATAAGCTGAAGTTTTTAATGTGTCACTTATATGATAGCCACTGCAATGTAGAAAAAACATCAAACACAAATCCAAACCTTCGATTGACGGCGAAAGCCATAATCGTATAAGGATAAATATGAGTTATTTAATATAAGTTAGGTTTTTCTTATTTTTTTTTCTTATAATTATTTATAATATTTATGTTTTATATATTATAAATTATTGAAAATGTATAAATTTATTTTGTAAATGTAAATATAACCTATATATAACAGTAAAAAGAATACTACTACTACTACTACTTATACGTACAAATAAAACACTTGTTTTGTTTGAGTGCTTTAATCTAACAAAGTTTCCAATAGAATTTCCAATAGAATCTTATGTACTGCTTCTATTGGTTAATGCTTAAATTACTTGCGTTGAATATGACAAAAAAAATATCAACTAATTTTAAACTGAATACACACAAAAATACTTTCCACAATATAGAATTCAACTTCCCATCCAAATTATTAAAACTCGAAATATCACAAAAAAATAGTAACATCAAAACTTTACGAAAAACCATAAATCAATTAGAATTACATTTAAAACGCACTCTTAACGTTGATGAATACAAAACGTTTGCTATGTGGATTTATTCCACATATTTGTCAAATTAAGTTTTGTCTTAAGACAAGACAAAACAAAAGACAAATAAAAGACAAAGCGCAATATCACAGTTTTGTTTAGGAATTTATCCTACACACAAAGTAACGCTTCCTGTTTACTCTATTTCAAGTGCATTGAAGCTTACTTACTGTTTATGCTGATTCAGCCATGATCACTGTAGTCAAGCTGCACACAGTGACAAACACCGCCACACTTATCTTAAGAATGCAAATCTCAACATAATTGATTTGGTTTGGTTAGCTTTTGTTTGATTCTATTAATTCAGTTCGAGTCAAGCCAACAAAACATCAACACGTTGTTTAAGTTCATAACAAAATAAATTGGTGGCACCGGTAAAGATAGAATTTTCGGTTGAAAATAAAAATTAATTAAAAAGTGTTTTCATTTACTAAAATTAGTATACGGTACGACTAAATGTTAAAAAGAGTGTTTTGAGTAACTGAAACGAATAAATAAAAAAAAAAATTATGTTGTGAAATTATATTATCAACAAGGATAATTATTATCGACAATAAAAAAAAAACTAACAATAAGTTTTAATGGATTAAAAGTCACAATGAAAACAAAACTGTGCACTATTAAAAAATTTAACAGAAAATTAACTTTTGAAATATTTATTTCAGAGTTCGGAATGTGGTGCACAAAATCGCACACTGCACTGTGCGAGTGGAAATTATTTTTAAAATATGCACACGCACATTTGTGGTGTTAAGAAAAAAAATGCACGCACTCAAATTTGTTGTGCGATTTCAAATTTCACATCGCACAAAGCAATGATAATTATATTTATAAT